CGTTACTAAGTTCCGAGTTTCAGTGGAAAAGAAAAATGACATATGGGAACAAACTAGAATTTGGGGCTCTTTGAAGACAGCTAATGACTCACAAAACAGGCAAGTGCCTCCCTCACCCACATGCGGCTGCCAGGAGAACCCCGGGTTACAGCAAAATCCTTCACAACTCCCAGCCAACCCACCTGGGGAGCATCAGGAAAAACAAAGAGCTGGAGCAGTGTCTGTGTGGGGAGGAGAGGAAGGGAGATGTTTAAGGAGGGTTAAGGGGTTTTGTTTGGTTTGGTTTTTAGATAAGATCTGTGAAGTCACAGCTGGCCTGGAACTCACTAAATAAACCATGCTGTGTGTGTATACACATTCATCTACACACATAATAATAAGATTATAATAAATGAAGTTCTGGGTATACCCACTCCCTTCTGTGACCCCAGAACTTGGGAGACTGAGGCAGAAGATTTGCATTGAGTTTGGGGTCAGGCTGAGCTATGGAGTGAGACTTTGCCTCAAACAACAACAAATTGACAAATCAGACTGGGTCTGGCAGCCAGTCTATAATCCAAGCTACTCCAGAGACTGAGGCAGGAGGATCCCAAATTCAACAGTTTGGGAAATGTAGGAAGACCCTGTCCCAGGAGAAAAAATAAAAGGAGGGTTGCTGTGCGTCTTTCTATCTTAGTAGCAGAATGTCTCGAGTGCACGAGACCCTGGACTCAATACTTGGTGGTAGCCAGGCTTCCTGGCATACGTTTGGAAAGTGGAGTCAGGAGTTCAAAGGCCAGTCTGAGCTACATGAGACCAGTCTCAAAACAACAAAAGTCCCAATTAAAGGAAAAGAAAGAAAAGAAAGTGACTGAAGAGCAGGCTTAGAGGTTAAGAGCACTGGCTGCTCTTCCAGAGGTACTGAGTTCAATTCCCAGCAACCACATGGTGGCTCACAACCAACTATAAATGAGATCTGGTCCCCTCTTCTGGCAAGCAGGAATACATGCAGGCAGAACACTGTATACACAATAAATAAATTAAAAAAGAGAAAAGAAAAGAGAAGGAAGGCAGGCTAAAGGAACAAGTAAAGGAATCAGAGGGAGCATGCTTCAATGTGCCGGGTATGAAATACAGGATGGGAGGGTCGGGAGCTAGGCAGCTACCTGCCAGCTCTGGCATGTGGTACCCAGAGATGTGTGATCACTGAGCTATTCTGATGCACCCATCCCAAGCCCAGCCCTCCTCCGGTCCTTCCCCGCACATGCTGCTCTGGTCCCATACCCTGGACTCGGCTGCTTTTCCTGCCTAAGAACGTGGACCCACTTGGCCCAGTGGCTGTTCCTGCAAATGTTGAGCTGAGCTGGAGTCTGGCCACCTCGTGGATGAGTTTCCAGGGATGAATGCCCTCGAGCCCAACCCCCTCCCACTGGCAGGAGGTGGCTCCTTCCCTTCCAGGGAGCGCAACAAGGGCCTGACTTCTAATGGGAGGCAGGAATGCTGTGGGTGCCAAGAGCCCTGGCCAGAGGCCTGCAGATCTGGGCTCTAGTGGCTCACTCCAGCTGTCTGTCAGAGACATGCTCCTAGAAGGTGAACTGGGGACAGAATCATAACCTCATCCCTCCTTGCCACAGCCAAGGATTAGTTGCAGCCTCCTGAGGCTGGAGCATCCTAGGCTGCACGGATCCTGAACCAATGAGGCTTCTGTTTTACTGTCATGGAGGAAAACCACAGACCAGACCCCGACACAGTGGGGTTGGTGAGGAAGAATGGCATTTGGTTCACAAGCTTGTCAAGCAGTAGAAAGACAATGAACGGATTCTCTGGAGGAACCAGTGTGGTGGTGCATGCATGCAATCCCAGCATTTGGGAGGCTGAAGCAGAAGGATTGAAGCCAGCCAGGAGGAGCTACATGGTGGTGGACAGGGAGAAGACTTGGAGAGATGGCTCAGTGGGTTAAGTACTCCTGAAGACCTGAATTTGATTCCGAGAACCCATTATTTTAAAAACAGAAAAGAAAAAAGCCCGGCATGGTGGCAGTGTGCTTATAATCCAGATGCTAAGGAAGTGGAGACCTATTCACTGGGGCTTTGTGGTCACCCAGCCTAGTCCAAGCAATGAGTTCCAAGCCAAAAAGATGTAGGGGACAGCTGAGGAGCAACTGAGGTAGACCTCTGGCCTTCACATGAATGTGCACACACATACACACACCAAAACCCAGACTCACGCCTGTTATTCCGGTACTTTGTGAGTGGAGGCAGGAGGATCAGAATTTTAAAGTCCTCCTCAGCCAGATAATGAGTTCCAGGCTAGCCTGAGCACATACATTCATGCAGCCCAAACACTCAAGATATAAATATAAACATAAATACAATATTTAAGGAAAAACAAATCCAAGGAAAAAAGTTGCAACATATGGAAAAAGGAAAGTAAAATAAAAGGATTTTCAAATGTGTCATCTTGGTGCGTGCTATGGCTGGCCATGTGATAGGCTAGGAGGTTGCGTCAATACATGTAGTCATCCTGATCAATAAACAAACAAGGTTTGGCTGTAAAAAATATTTTAAGATGTGTTACATTCAATTATGCTGCGGAATATTTGTTTAATGATGCAAAGATGTGTTGCATTCCTTTATGCTGCATTTGTTTAACTCTGTAAAGTTACTGTGCCTGTCTAAAACACCTGATTGGTCTAATAAAGAGCCGAACGACCAATAGCGAGGCAGGAGCAAGAGTAGGCGGGGCTGGCAGGCAGGAGAAATCTGAGAGGGTCAAGAAGCAAGAACAAGGAGAAGAGGACAGGGTTTTTCTGTGTAGCCCTGGCTGTCCTGGAACTCACTCTGTAGACCAGGCTGGCCTCGAACTCAAGAGATCTGCCTGCCTCTGCCTTCCAAGTGCTGGGATTAAAGGTGTACGCCACCACAGCCTGGCCATAAAATAAATTTTTAAAAACTTAAAAGCAACCTGGGAAGGTCATGTGGGATCAGAGCTGGGCATGGCTGCCCACACAGGGAGCAGGGCGGCCGGCTCCCTCCTGTGGGAAGCAGACATCGCGGTCATGGTGTATACGAGATCAGTACCAAGCAGGGTCCATCCAATGCAGCCCAAGCCCAGTGTCCATCTCTGGCCCCTTCTTGCTGGCTTTCTCTGGAACCATGGAGTTTAAGACACTCCTCCGCAGTCAAACCCCAGACTGCTGTGGCATGTCTGAGCCCTCAGAGGGAGAAGCTGACCGGGATGTGTGGAGCAGTCCGGTCTCCCAGCTTTTTCCTGCATTCCAGGTGATCCAAACTCTTGATTGCCATGGGCTTGTTTATTATTGGTAACCTTGTTGGGAATCAACACTAATTGTGCTATCCGCTCACCTTGAGGAATTACCACCACCTCCTGTTGGACAGATGTCATAACTTTAATCTCCTCTTGATAGTCTGCATCTACTATCCCAGGATGTATTTGGATCCCCTTTAAAAGGGTACTGCTTCTGCCTAATATAAGTCCCATGGTACCCGGTGGTAAGGGCCCATGTACTCCTGTAGAGAGTGCTTGCACTCCCATGTGTGGAGTTAAGACTGCTCTGGCAGAGGCACAGAGGTCCAATCCTGAGCTCCCTGGTGTGGCTCTGACGAGGTCTGCAATGTGAAAGGATTTCTCTGTGGAAGGAACTGGACATGGCCTTTGCTGGGGTACCATTCCTGCAGTCCCGCGGTCATTGCTCCATACACTGAGGTTTTGGGGCCTTGGAGCAGGGCCCTCTGCCAGTTTCCCTGCTGTTGATTAATGGTACGTGGCAGAGGTTTCCCATCTATATCTGTTTTAGAGAAACAGTCTTTAGCCCAATGTGCTCCCCTTCTGCATCTAGGTCACAAGCCGGGTTTCCTCCTCCCCTTCATTATCAGCTGTGGGCATTCCTTTCGAAAATGACCAGGAGTTCCGCAGTTAAAACAATTACGGCCTCCGGCCCTCTCTCCCAGTCTTCTTATGTTTCTCCGAGGTTGAATAGCTGCCGCTATAACCTAGCCTTGAATGAAATTCCCATCTATATCTCTGCATATCCTGATAGATTCATTTAAACTCTTTTGTTTTGTGAGGGCGTAATGCTTCCTTACAATATCTATTGGAATTTTCAAATACAAGTTGCTTTATTATAGGCATGGCTGTTGTCTCATCTCCAAACCATCTACCTGCTACTTGTGACAGTCTATCTACATAATCTTGGAATGGTTCAGATGGTCCTCGTAGAACTTTTGATAATTGATCCCCAGCTGCTTTGTTAGGCAGGGCCTTCCACGCTTGAGTGGCAGCTGCAGCTATTTGGGTGAATGCTCCTGGATCCCACAGAATCTGTTGCTGCAAATTGGCATAAGCCCCAGCCCCAGTTAACATATCTAAATTACGTTGTGGTTGACCCGCTAGAGCATTTAACTGGGCCGTTTGCTTACAGTTTTCCTGATATTCCCCTCGCCATCGGAGATCATCTCCCCCAGATAAGACAGCATGACATAATTGCTGCCAATCACTGGTGTTAAATTCATAGCAGAGAAAGATTCTACCATGGCCAACGTGAAGGGTGCTTGAGCCCCATATACAGCTACAGCTTCCTTTAATTGTTTCATTTCTTTAAATTGTATTGCAAAATGTTGGCGAATTATTTGCCCTGGGTTGTTGGTGTCTGGCACCTCCATCACCGGTGCAACCCTGTGTACAGGACGAAAACAAACTCCCTTGTTTTGTTCAGTGCCAGAGCCCCTACTCAACTGAGACCAACCTTCATTACTACAAGCCCGTGGGGCCGAGGGAGTTGGATGTGAGTCTTTTTTTACTCTACGTTTTCTCAGCTTTCTAAAGAGATTTTTTAATTCCTTACGTATAATCTCTTCTTCTTCTTCTGATGAATCCTCCTCACTATCCTCCACTAGCTCTAAATCATCAAACTCCTATCGTCCGACTCTTTTCTGAACCAAGAAAAGATACCTCCCATCTCAATATGTCTCCGTCGGCCAGGAACGACGCTGTCTGCTTACCTCTCTTGGAGGGGCTTCCAAGGACGGTCTCTCAGCATTCCCTTTTCCGATATCTCGGTGGGAACCTCCAAATGCCGCGCACCACGCCCCCGTGTTTGCGCTCTGTGCGCTAGCACCCAATTTCCGAGCTTTGGGCAAGGGGACTGAAGGTTAAAATACACAAACACACACGGACAGAGAGACAGCGACATGAGTCATCCTTGAATTCCCCAAGAATGCTCCCTTTATTGTGTTCAGGGGCAGATTATATAGAGATAGCCACGCCCCAGCCAAACCCACCAGAAACCACTCTCCTGCCATCAGGAACTCCCGAAGGTCTCGTGCTCAGAGCAGCTGTAGGCACTCAGATCAGGGGATTACAAGAAATTCAGGATCTGGGGTCTCACTGCTCCCAACACTGCATGTAGCCTCTTCAGGTCCCTCACCCCCCCCCAAATTCTTCAAAGCTTCATACTCCAAGGCCTTCCTGACTCCTCTTTCTCCCTCTGTGTGAGCCAGCAATTATCAGGCCCATCCACGTTTAAGACTGGGTATAGCAAGTGTTTCATGGATGCGGAGCCATAAAAATCCCAAGATACCTCTGGAAAGACAAAGGCTGGAGCCCAGGCAACAGTCTGACCCAGCTATCCAGTAGGGATGCACCAAAGATAAACAAACAAATGCCCACGGCAGCCAAGAAAAGGACGCAAATATTCCCCAGCTGCAGATGGATAAGCCAGTGTAGACTGTCTACACTCTGGGCCAAGGCTCAGCCATATAAAGGAATCAACGCCAACGGGTGCTGCAGGGCTGACTGGGGGCATGGCTGCCAGGGAAATTCCTGTGCTCTAGCTTGGGTTTCCAGCACCCACATAAAAAGCTGGGTCCAGCAATGTACTCTGGAATCGCAGCACTGGAGAGAGGCAGGTGGGTCCCTAGGGCTCACTGACCAGTCAGTCTCACTTAACCAGTACCCCAGGGTCAGTGAGAGACTGCCTGGTTTGGGGGTGTAGTCCATCACCGTGGTTGAAGCATCAGATCCATCGTGGCAGCAGCTTGTGGAGCAGACTGTTCACACCTCGGTGGGTCAGGCAGCAAGGGCAGGCTGTAACCCTCAAGCCTTGCCCAGAGGCAGCTACTTATGCACCCACTGGGGAACCAAGTGTTTGAACCTGTGACCCAAATGGTGGGGGAAACTTGTAAACCCTGCACGTCTGAAGCAGACACAAAAGGCATCTGGCCACATGTTTATATGACAGGCCCTCTGCATGGGGACAGAAAAAGGCGGGTGACATCTGGGAAAGGGGAGGAAGAAACAGGACAGTGACCATAGGAGGTTGTGGAGGTGAGTATCCCTGGGTGACAAAGACATCCTGGAACTAGATGATGACAGTGGTCCAACTCTGTGAGGGCACTAACCAATCAAGTGTGTATTGTAGGGGGGCAAAGGTCATATGAATTACATCTCTATTTTTTAACAAAGGTGTTTTTTTTTTTCTGGTTGGGAGTTCTTTTTAAAATGCTTAATGTAAGCCAGGTAGTGGTGGCTCATGCCTTTAATCCCGGCAAAGTTTAATGTATTATTTTATACCATCTGACTTTGTTCCCCTAACCTTGAACCCCTCACCTTGACTCCTTACCTTTCACCCTTGACTTTGTGCCCCCTGACCTTTCACCCCGTCTCAGCTCACGCTGCTTTTCCATCTGTAACGGGCTGTAAGATCCTCTTTCTGCTCCCCTTTTGTTTTCTGAGATAGGGTCTCACTCTGTAGTCCTGGCCTAGCCTCATACTCTCAGCAATCCTCCTGCCTCAGCATCCCGAATACCAAGATTCCTACTGTGGGCCACCACACCCAGCCACGAGCTTCCACCTGCAGCAGAACAAACTCACTAGCAATGAACCCCAGAGGCAGCCTCTGTGGGTAGCCCTCCTTGTCCTGTCAGAGCAAGGGGACAGCTCCCCTTCCAGCCATCCTGACAGGGGTACTGGCCACCATCCTTTTGTTCATTCCTGAGGGAGCCCAACTGTCACTCATTCACAAATGGTCCCAGGCCTAGCACTACTGTGTCACAGGTCAACGTGGCTCTTTATGTCTCACTCCCCCAAGCTCAGTGTGTCCTGGAAGGTGACATGTCATTGCTGAGTCAGCATCTTCCCACAGACAGCAAACAGGCTCGACACTGAACAAGCACACGGCCAGCACCTACCCAGCCACCAGAGCCTCTGCAGTGTCAAAGGGGAGACGGGTGTCTGAAGTCACAGTAACCACGAAGGGACTTTCGAACCGGCACTGTCAGGCCTGAAAGATCCTTGGGAAAGAGACTTAGGGGAGGGTGGTGGAGTCACTGGTAATTAACACCTTCCCATCACTCCTGAAGGCGTCTTAACCACCACTTTCTCAGGACACCATCCCTGTTCCTTATCTAGAAGTGCCTCCACCCTGTCCCACCCTGTCTTCCTAAAATTTTCAGTGAGTCTGCTTTGTTTTACATGCCAGAGTCTCACTATATTGGCCCTGGATGGCCTTGAACGCAAGCAACACAGGGGATAGCGGGTGTGCATCAGGCCTGACTCTGTGTCCCTAATTTAATTTCCTTTTAGTATTGAATTCCATTGGACACAGGACGTCAGGGGTGGCAGCTTCACCCACCTAGTCACCTCACCTTCCCAAGCCTGTTTTAAATAGAGGTGGCTTAGAGACATAGCCCCATCGGAGGATGCTTGTTCAGCATACACAAAACCCTGGACTCCACCTCCGCCGTTGGTGTGGTGGGCAGCACACTCCTGTGGTCCTAGCATCAGGAAGTGGGCACGGGAGGATTAGGAGCTCAGGGTTATCCCAGGCAACGCAGCAAGCTGGAGGCCAGCCTGGACCACACGAGACCCCGTCTTCTTGAAAAGAAAAAAACTAGTGCAGACTTACCAGGGAAAGATAGTCAGGACCCCAAGAAATGGTGAGGGTGAGGAGCATCAAGGGCTTAGAAATTCTCCCCCAGGAGCAGCTCTTGTCCCACCCAGGGCCCCTGGGACGGTGGAGGGAGGGACAGCAAGGAAACAAGGCACTGTGGTCGCCCAGGCACTTAAAGTACATCAAGATGGGTGTAGTGACGCCAGCTGCAGGGAGCGAGACTGGAAAGAGCCGGGTCGTTAAAGCTCACCGAACTGAGCCTCTTCTCACAGGAAAAATATTTATTTCACTGAGCTCTGCGTTTTGGAAAGCTGTGGCTGCAACAGCACACACATCGATTTCGCAGAGTTTTGGCTATGGCTGAGTTTTGTCTGCCTCCGGTCTCTGCGTGGTCTGGGCGCGTGCCTCTGTGTGTGTGTGTGTGTGTGTGTGTGTGTGTGTGTGTGTGTGTGTGTGTGTGTGTGTGTGTTCATCCACAGCACCACTCCCACGAACAAGCAATCAGCTAAAGACAGCCAGAGCACGCAGCCAGAAAACAAGGGCTGCGAACTCAGCAGCTTAGCCAGGGCCCTGCTGTATTGTCCTCAGGAGCCTGTGGAGAAGCAGTTACTCCTGCCTTCTCTTTTGACCTAATACACTGCTCTCTGCCCTTCCCTCCTACCCCCCAGGTTTTTTTTTTGGGGGGGAGTACAGCTGGGCTTGGTGGCACGTGCCTTTAATCCCAGTCCTTGTAAATCAGAGTTAGGTAAGTCTGTGAGTTTAAGGCCAGCCTGGTCCAGGGGCCAGTTAGGGTTACATAATAAGACCCTATCTCAAAAACAATGCCAACAAAAAACAAAGCAGAAAAGCAGACAAACATGGGGAAGTCAGTAAAAAAACAGGGCCAGATTCACACACCTATAATCCAGCGTGCTAGGCGTGGTGGCGCACACCTTTAGTTCCAGCACTGGGGAGGCAGAGGCAGGCGGATCTCTGTGAGTTCGAGACCAGCCTGGTCTACAAGAGCTAGTTCTGCATTGTTATCAGAACCCTGTCTCAAAAGGCAGGGTATGGGGGACTGGAGAGATAGTACAGCAGTTAAGAGCACTTATTCTTGTAGGGACCTGGGTTCGACTTTCAGCACCCAGGTAGTGGTTCACAACCACCCATAACTCCAATTCCAGGGCTGGAGAGATGGCTCAGAGGTTAAGAGCACTGACTGTTCTTCTAGAGGTCCTGAGTTCAATTCCCAGCAACCACATGGTGGCTCACAACCATCTGTAATGAGATCTGCTGCCCCCTTCTGGTGTGCCGATAGAACGCTGTATACATAATTAATAAATAAAAACTTAAAAAAAAAAACTCCAATTCCAGAGAATCCGACGCCCTCTCCTGGCATCTGTAGGCACTATATGCACACAGCTACAGACATACATGCAGACAAAACATCCATACATACAAAACAGAATAAATGACTCTAAAAGCAGAAAGGAAAAAGTCTGAGACTGTCAAGATTCAGTGAGCAAGGGCACTTGCCCCCAAGCCTGATGACCTGGTGGAAGAAACAGCTAGTTCCTGAAGCTGTCCTCTGGTCTCCACAAGAGCCACGGCAGGCTGGGAGGTGGTGGCACATGCCTTTAATCCCAGCACTTGGGAGGCAGAGCCAGGCGGATCTCAAGTTTGAGACCAGAGTGAGTTTCAGGATTAGCTCCATAGCTACTGGGAAATCCTGTCTTGAAAGAAAAAAAAAAAAAAACACGGCACATAAACACACACACACACAGACACACACACACAATAGGAAAATGTCTGGCCGGATCTGGCAGCATCCTATAAGTAGATCTTACTGTCCTCTCCACTCTTTGAAGGGTAGCAGAGCCTGGGTGGGAGCCAGACTCCCCAGCAGAGTTCCCATAGCGGACAGGTAGAGGACACAAGATTCTATTCTACACTGCACTCAAGGACTCCAGGGCCTTCACGGCCAAGCTCACCAGGAAGAGCCTCAGAGGCTGAGCTGGGCTCTTAATGTACCCACTCCGACCTTCTTGCGGGTTCTAAATTTAGCCAAACAAGTTCTTCCAGCCCAGCCGATGACGCCGGTACACTATTAGAGGATCAAGCCTTTTCCTGGTGTGGAAGTAATAAAAGAATGCGGCTGTTTGCAGAAGCCGGCCTGCTGACCACCATCTGACATGGACCTTCGGCCCCTCCTGGTCACAATGGACGTGTGGTTATTGACCGCCTTCTCGGGGACAGTGATTAAAACATTTCCTGAACCAGAGTCTAAATGGCATTTGTGAGTGCACCAGAAACAAACCCCTAAGAGTTGGGTATGGTAG